CAGGGTACATTCAATACTTTTCTCCAGCACCACAGCTCAAAGGCATCAATTCTCCTTCTGTCTTCCCTAGTCATTGTCCAACTCTCTGATGCATAACAAGTGATTGCAAAGACTATGGCCTGTATCAGGTGCACCCTAGTTTCCAGAGAGACACTGTTGCTCTTGAATACTTAGAGAGGTCCCTAACAGCAGACTTTCCCATTGCAATACGTTTTTTTATTTCCTGGCTGCTGGTGCCAAGAGTGTTGACTGTGGAGCCAAGCAAACTGAAGCTGTGAACAATCTCAATCTCTTTGCCATCCATCCTGATGCTACCAATTAGTCCAGTGGTGAGAATCTTTGTCTTCTTGACATTGAGCCTCAGTCCATACTGAAGGCTGCAGTCTTTTACCCTTTGCAGTAAGTGCATGAGGTCCTCCTCAATTTTAGGGAGCAGGGTTGTGTCATCTGCATAAAGCAGATTGTTAATAGCTCTTCCACCAATCCTGACGCCACACTTCTCCTCATAGAGTCCAGCCTCTCGAATAATCTGCTCTGCATACAGGTTGAAAAGGAATGGAGATAGGACTCATCCCTGGTGTACATCCTTCCCAATTTTTAACTATGCAGTGTTTCCTTGCTCTGTTCTGATGACTGCCTCCTGGTCCAAGTATAGGTTTCACATTAGAACCATCAAGTGTCCTGGGATTCCCATTCTTCTCAGAGTCAGTCACAGTTTGTTATCATGCACACAGTCAAATGCCTTTGCATAATCAATGAAACACAGATATACAGTCTTCTGGTATTCTCTGCTTTCAGCTAAGTTACATCCAACATCAGTTACAATATTCCTAGTACCACGACCCCTTCTAAACCCAGCCTGGACTCTGGCAGTCGGTTTTGGATAATCTTCAGTAGAATCTTGTGTACAAGTGAAATCAATGATATTGTTCTGTAGTTTCCACATTCTGTTGGGTCACCCTTCTTTGGAATGGGAAGAAATATAGATCTCTTCCAGTCAGTTGGCCAAGTGGTTGTTCTCTAGATTTCTTGGCACAACTTGGTGGGCACATCCAGGGCAGCATCTGCTGCTTGAAATATGTCAATTGGTATACCATCTCTTCCTGGGGCCTTATTTTTTGCTATTTCCTTCAAAGCAGCTTCAACTTCTTCCTTTATCACCATAGGCTCTTGCTCAAATGTTATTTCATTAAATTCTTCTGTATCTGCCAATTCCTTTCAATACAATGACTCACATTAGGAAAGCAAAAATCTTCACCACTAGGCCCACAGGTAGTGTCATGATAGATGGAGAGAAGATTGAAATTGTCAATTGTTTCATCTTGCTCAGATCCACAACCAATGTCCTTGGCACCAGCAATCAGAAAGATAAAAAAATGAGTTATATTGGGAAAATCTGCTGTTAAGGACCTCCCTAGAGCACTAAAGAACAATGAAATCAGTCTAAAGAACATAGTCTTCTCATTTGCTTGCTACGCATCTGAGAACTACACAATTACTAAGGATGACAGAAGAACAATAATGCCTTTGATTTGCGGTACCGGAGAAGAATATTAAATATACCATAGTCTGCAAGGGAAGAAACAGTTCTGTCCTCGAAAGGGTGAAATGTTTAAGGTTGCTCCTTAAAAGCAAGGGTTTTTCGTGTTTGCTTTGGCAGCACATATGCTAAAACTGGAACGGTACAGAGAAGATTAGCATGGCCCCTGTGCAAGGATGACACGCAAATTCATGATGAAGTGTTCCATTAAAAAAAAAAAAAGCAAGGGTTTTAAAACTCCATATCACGTATTTGGGTATGTTTTCAGAGGGGCTAATCGTTTGAGAAGGACATATTGTTTGTAATGATAGATGGTCAGCAAAAGAGAGGAAGATCCTTAATGTTATAGAATGAAACAGTAAGTGTGGTAATGGGATCAGGTGTGTCAGAGACAGTGAGTCTGGCTCGGAATAGAACACAGTTCAGAACCATTGTTCACAAGGTCGCTATGAGTCGTGGATAACTTGACAGCATATAACAACAACAACGCTTTCTAATTCAGAAATAGAATATATGAGCAGAAGGGGAGAAGAGGAAGATTTGTATTTTTAACATCTTGAGATTTAAATACTTGAAAGGTGTTAAGATAGAAATTTAGGTAGGTGGATAGAAGAGACTGAAAATCTGGAGATTTCAGAACTGAAGTCATCAGCATTTAATACAAGCAGAGTGTTTGGTAGAAAAACAAAAAGGCAAGATGTATGTGGTTATATAGGTAAAGAGATCACAAATTTCAGAGGGGACAAAAAGTGAGGTTTGACACAGTCAGTGCCCCCGATAAAAGATAGACCAAAAGTGTCATGACTCACGCAAGTGTGGAGTTCATGTACAAGTAGCAGTGGAACAAAAACTGAGAGGGGTGCAAATTAATACAGACTGAATAGATCTGGGAATTAACATAGTCAAATGTAAGCTTGAAGCAAAGATAAAACTCACAGACAAATATGTGGGAAATGAAATCCTTCAAAGTGAAATGTCCTTTAGTGTTGTAGTTTGAAATTTGTTAGTGTCATAGTAGACAAAATGAGCTAAGCATGAAAAATATTTATGGAATGATAAAGTTGAAAGTTAGATAGCTAATTGCAAGTAGTTGCACATCCCTAAAGAGCAGAAAATTTTAAGGATATAGTTAGTGAAGTCAATTAAGCTTTCTCAGTAAGCAAATATTTTTGTGAAAAATTTCTAGCAATAGAGTTGAAAGTAAATTGTGGAAATGAGAGTTTGGACATGGGGTGGGGACACAATTTAGGATGCTGCCATAACATTTCCCTCAAGAGTCCCTTGTAGCAGTCACCTTGTCAATCCACCTCGTTGAGGGTGTTCCTCTCCTTCGCTGAACCTCCACCCTTCCCAGTATCATGTCCTTCTTTGACGAATAGCCTCTCCTAGCTACATGTCCAAAGTATGTGAGGAGAAATCTCATCGTTCTTGCCTACAAAGACCACTCTGGCTGCACCCTTTCCAAGATATGCTTGTTCTCTTGGCCGTCCATGGAATGATAAGTGCTTTACTCCAACACCACAGATCAAAGGCATCAATTCTATTTTTGTCATCTTTATTCATTGTCCAGGTCTCAGATGCAAAGCAAGTGATCAGAAAGACGATGGCCTAAATCAGACCTTAGTTCTTAAATTGACATTACTACTCCTCAATAATTTGGAAAGTTTCTTAACTGCAGATATTCTCAGTACAAAGTATCTCTTTATTTTTTGACTGCTGGTACCAAGTGTATTGATTGTGGTTCAAAGCAAGATGAAGCTGTTATCAGTTTCAATCTCCTCTCCATCCATCATGACACTGCCAATTGGTCCAGTGATAAGAATTTTTGCCTTCTTGACTTGATTTTCTGCAACAAATGCTTCAAGTCTTCCTCACTTTCAACAAGCAAAGTTGTGTTATTTGCAGGCTATTGATGAGTCTCCCTAAAATCCTGATGCCACACTCCTCCTCATAGAGTCTAGTATTTCAGATAATTTGTTAAACATACAGATTAAGTAGGCATGGAGAGAAAAGACAACCCTGACACATTTCCTTGTCAATTTTAAACCACGCAGTATTCCCTTGCTCTGTTTCCACAACAGCCACCTGGTCCAGACACAGTTTCTGCATGACCACAATCAAGTGCTCTGGGATTCCTGTTCTTCTCAATGTCAGCCATAACTTGTCATTACCTACACAGTCAAATGCCTTTGCATAGTCAATAAAATAAAAGTAGACATTCTTCTGATATTCCATACTTTCAGCCAAGATCTGTCTGACATGAGCAATAATATCCCTGGTGCCATGACCTCCTTTAAATATTGCTTGAACTTCTGGCAGTTCCATATCTATGTCCTGTTCTGTGAAGTGTGATGATGGCATAGGACAGAATAAGGTTCAGATCTTTTGTTCATGGGGTCACTATGAGTTGTACTTGACTCAATTGCACTTAACAAAAACAACAACAATAAAGCTTCAGGTAAGAGAAAGTAAAAGAGATAAATTACATTAATGGTGGAAGGAATAGAGAAGAGAATGACACTCACAGAAAGGAAAGATTAAGAATTAAGGCAGAAAAACAGTGTAAAAATAACTGTTTGTTGAGAAGATATAGTCATAATATACTGGATTAAGGGTCATAGAACCATTAAGGGAATCAATTCGGCATATAGGAAAAAGAGGAATTATGTTTTCCCTTAAATTCCCTATTCAAAATCTCTCAAATGCTGTAAGTACATAATAAAAATGCTTAACCAACCTTGCATTTACTTCCAGAAAGAGTTTGTTGTTTGGTTTTAGGAGAAAGAAAGCTAGGTTTTAATTTTTCTAAGATGAATTTGTACAGAACAAATAGATGAAAATAAGTAAGAAATCAGAAGAAAAGAATGAAACTAACAACACTAGTAGTGTGCAGTGATAACCTTCAATTTGCCCCTTCCATGGAATATTTATTTTGAGGTGTTGTTGAACTGGCTCTGACTTATGTTGACTGTATGATCCTTCCCATATCCTGTGTCATCCTCATCATCTCTGATATACTTGAACCCCTTATCAGTCACTGCATTAATCTACCTCCCTGAAGTTCTTCATCTATACTGACCCTCTACCTTTCCAAGCATTATGTACTTTCCCAAGGACAATATGTCCAAATGATGTGAAATGAAGCTTTCTCACCCTCACCTCTAAGGAGCACCCTGGTACACTTATTTCAAGACATATCTCTTTGAATTTTTTATCATTCCATGGGATATTTGGTACTCTTCTTTTTTATTTTTTTAAATTTTATTAATATTCATTCATTGTTGCATAATTTCTTCCCTCCCCTCATCCCCTCCTCCTCCCCCTGTCCACTTTGCAGTGTACTTCTTATCCTCGACTGTTGTCTTACATAAATGCTTAATCATATATTCCTTTTTAAGAGACCTTTCTTTCATCTGTTCTAATGCAGGGTTCATTATCTGTCCCCTCTTTTCCTGTTCACCTTCAAGATCCCCATGTCGGTCTTGCTTTATAACAGTGATGTTAGGGAGTATTTGTCCTTTTGTGACAGGTATTTCACCTAGCATAGTGTCCTTCAAGGTCATCCATGTTATGTAATGTTTTACCAGTTCATTGTTTTCATTTGTTGTTGGACACTTGGGTTGCTTTCATCTCTTTGCTATTGTGAATAATGCAGGAGTAAACGTGGGTATGCATATATTTGTTTGGATGTTGTTCTGGTTTCTTTAGAGTGTGTATATTCCCAGTAGTGGCAGTCATTGGGTCAAATGGTATTTCTGTTTACAACTTTTTGAGAAAGTGCCAAACCGTCTACCGTGGTTGCACCATTTTTCATTCCCACAAACAGTGAATAAGGGTTTCAATCTGTCCATAACCTCTTCAGCATTTGTTAATTGCTTCTCTGATGAACTTTGCTATTGGTGTTGGGGAGGAAGAAATCCTTGATGATATATCTCCCTAAAATTACTCAATGAAAACCCCTTTGAGTGAAAACTCAGGAGCATTGAAGGCAGTCTGTGTTCTCATTTGGTCCTCAAACAACCATCTTCTACTTGGCAGTGATCTTGAGGATGAAAGGTAGTTGGGAAAAGGCAAAGCAGAAAGATGGAAACAGATTGAAATCTTGCTTCCTCAGAACTGAAGTACAAGTCTTGGCCTGCCCACCTCTGGGCTAAAGTTTAGTGAAAGAACAAAGCATATTGTTCTGCAGCCTTTGTTTTCTGGTCATTGTTACACATAGTGGAACGAAATGATGTAAATGGACTGCAAGGAAAAATGAGTTTCAAACCCAGGTCTGCAAAACAAAGATACAGCAGTCTGCTTCTGCAAAATTGTACAGCCTTGGGATCCCTCCTAACAGCTCTCTGTTTTGTCGGGTCACTGGGAGTTTAAACTGACTATGCAGTCTGGTACTCTTCTTTTTAACACTACAGCTCAAAGGCATCAATTCTTCTGCCATCCTCACTCATTGTCCACCATTCAGAAGTACACCAAGTAATTGAAAAGACCACAGCTGTGGCTAAAATCAGTTGCCCTTTTCTCATTTTCCCTTAGACTGATACATGTGAGCAGAATTCATGTACACAGCCTAGGTACGGCTTCTAACTCTTTTCTCAGGCTATATGCTGATAAAAAAGTTGGATGCACAATGGACCACCTAAGAAACTTTTAAAACACTTGAAGTCTAGGTCACCTCCTACTTCATGTGGAACAATCTGCATTTTTTTGATTCCCAGGTGAATTTAATACATAGCCAACATAGAGACTCATTTCTCCAGAGAAAACTAGTTACTTAAACTTTGGGGAAAGTTATGAACTGCCAAAAGAACAAACAAGTCTGTCTTGGAAGAACAGTGCATTTTAGAAACAAGGATGGTGAAAGTTCGCATCTTTGGGAATGTTGTCACGAGGGGTCAGTCCTTGTAAAAAAGACATCATGCTGAGAAAGGTCAAAGAAAGATAAGAAGACCTTCAACCTAATGGACTGACACAGTGACTATAACAATTGGCTGGTGCACATGGAAGATTTTGAGCATGGTGCAGAATAAGGCAAGTTTCAGATTCGTTGTTTGTAAGTTACCTATGAGTTGTAATCGATTGGATGATATCTAACCTCAACAACAACAACAACAAAATATGTGTAAAAAACCCCATCATATGGAAAACCTGGATTCCTTAATTACTGCATGTAAACCAGGCAATCTAATCATGCTCTTTTCATAAATGAGGAAATTACCATTACATTTATGAGTCTTTTGTAGAACTTTGTTCTGCAAACTCTAGTGAAACCTGTTCACCATGGGCAATGTCCAGTATATAAAATACATGTGACCTGGCTTTCAGCACTACAGCAACACTCAAGTCACCATAGAATAAGAAACTTGCATATAAGTGCTATACTCATAAGAGCAAAATACAAAACAAGCATGCATACATAGATGCCTGCTATGGGAAGTAGAAGGCAGAGCGTCTGTTCTGGGACAGTGTCTCTGCCAGCCAGCAGACAATTGGAGTTAGGGTATCCAGTTAGGTCAGAACTTCAGCTTCTCTGGGTGGTAACAAACACATCCAGCCTGGGGATGATTACCAGCCTATGCTAAGAAATTAATAAGATGGATAGCTGGACAATGAACTAGAAGATATATATTTATTTTTCTCATTTTTTTAAAGACTCATATTTGTTCTCATTCGAAGATTGGTAATCTAACCTAGTGCATAAATTATCAGTGTCATTAACACTACATCCAAGTAACATCTTGCTGAAGATTTATTTAAAAATGGCTGGAACTGTACATCAACAGGGAACTTCCAAAGACTCAAGCTCAATTCAGAATAGGCTCTGGTACAGGGGATATTATTGATGTTGTCAGAAGGATTTTGACTGAAAACAGAAACTCCCAGATATTTATTTATCTGTGTTTCTTTAACTATGAAAAGCCATTTGACTGAGTGCATTGAAACAAATTATGGCGAACATTGAGAAAAATGTGAATCCCAGAACATGTAAGTGTGTTCACATGAATCCTTACACATAAACCAGAACACAGTTGTCAGAACATATCAAGGAACTCTAAGGGTTTAAAATAAATCAGGAAAGGTGTGTAGCAGGGTTGTACACCTTCTCCATGTGTGTTTAATCTATATACTGAGCAAATATATCAAGAAACTAGACTATGAAGAAGAATGTGGGATTAAGAAACTAGACTATGAAGAAGAATGCGGCATCAGGATTGGAGGAAAGCTCTGTGTTCCTTGCTTGCAGGAAGTGAAGAAGACTTGAAGTACTTACTGTAGAAAATCAAGTACTACAACCTTCAATATGGGTTTCCGCTAAACATTAAGAAATCAAAAATCTTCATCAAGATTGATGTTGTTAAGAATTTCATTTTACTTGCATTCACAATCAACGTTCATGGAAACATCAGTGAAGAAATCGAAAGTTGTGTTGCACTGGGAAAATATGCTGTCAAGGACCTCTTCAAAGTGCTGAACAGAATGGATGTAGGTTTAAAGTTGAAGGTGAGCTTGATTCAAGTCACTGTATTTTAAGTTGTATCTTAAAGTTATACAGAGAGTAAAAAAAACCAAAGTAGGATGCACACTTTCAAACTGTGGTGTTGGCAAAGTATGTTGAATATACTATTTGGTATGGACTACCAAAAGAACAAACAAAACTGTCTTAAAAAAGTGCAACCTTAATGTCCCTTAGAGGCAAAGATGGTGAAAATTAGTCTCACAGATTTGAGCATGTTAACAGGAGATTAACATGGAAATGTCTCATGTCTCAGGGTAACTTGGAAAAAGACATCTTGCTGGGAAAGGTGAAAAGTCAGGACTAGCTTGTCAAATGTAATTGACTGCCTCTGAAAACCCACTGAAGAATCAGCTATGAATCAATCAGTTCTGACTCAAAGGCACACAACAACTTTAACAAGACATCATCAACAACAAACTACAATAAATTGGTGATTATAAAGAACAGAAATTTATTTCCTTCAAGTTCTGGAAGCTGAAACTCCAAATTCATACTGTAGGGGTTCATCTACTAACATATTATTAGATAACATTCTGTTGCTATATATAAAGTTTTCATTAGTTAATTTTAGAGAGTAAATCTCCAGGCCTTTCTATCTATTGGATCAATATTGTTTTCGATGGAAGCTTCACCAAAACTTGCCCACCATGTGTGACCTGCTTGTACAAGACATAGCTTTCTGCATGACAGCAACATGCAAGACTATGATAAACTGAAAGATGGGTCATAACACACTAATACAAGAATCCTAAATGACACCAAGACTGTTGTTCTCATGGGGTCACCTGGAGCATCAGTTAGTATTTGATTCATGGCTTTTACACCTCCAAATCAATTGCACTGTCATTTGTTCTAGCTTAAGAATACTACCAGGTTTTACTTTGAGCCCTGTGTTGTCTAGATCCACCCTGAAACCAAAATAACTTTTTCTTTTAAAAAAAAAAAGGATAAAAAAGAAAATTCTATAACCAGCCCCTGGTTTTGATTACCTTGCTCTCTGGACATTTTTAACAATAGAGAATAAACCACCACAATGATGTCACAATAAATCAAAGTCCAGCTGCTTTCTTTTGGATTTCCTAAATTGTTTTACCTGTTTCAATAACATATGAGAGTAACCCTTAGCACTTCCGCAACTGTGGTCAGAGTTGTTTTGTTTTTGTTTTTTTTTTCTTCTCAGAAACATTGAAGAAATAAATATCTTAATTCATTTACTTTTATTATTGAAGGGACTGAGGAATGTATGATATTTTCATTCCTCCATGATTTTATAATTCCATAATAATTTACCATCTCAAAAGTGGGAAATTTTTACATTTAGCTCAGGAAATTTAAAAAAAGTAATACAAAAAATTCCTTTAAATGTCTTTTATTTATTTCAATGTTTTTGTAAGAATGAAAATAGTATTCCTACTAATAAATGCTAAAATGTATTTTTATTTTAATACTTAGAGCCCCTCCTTTTTCAGGCAAGGTGTTTGACTTAGTAAAGTTAAAGACTTGCATGTGCTCAATAAACAGTTCAGTTAATTTTTTTAGTCTAGATTAGTCTGACATCAAAACATATGCTTTTTCTTCTACAGTATGTTCCAAAGAAAGAATTTAGAAAAGAAAAAGATGTGTTGTCATTTGTCTTCTTTTGTTTATTTAACATCGACATTTTACTCAAAATGTCAGCCCAATTATAAAAGCAGCAATGTTATTTTATTTAAAAAACTGTCATTCTTTGTCTCTTTGAGTCCTGTGTCTCAGGGTAATGCATCAGTTGTATTTAATTCTTCATCAATTTTTTCCCTATAGCTTTCATCACTTACATGTTCATTTTCTTGAAGTCTCGTCCTTTTGTTGCCTTCCTTTCTCCTGACAGAAGTGACCTCTCTTCTTCTTTCCCAGAATTCCCTGACAGACTCAAGATGAAGAATAGAAGGGAGTAATCTACTGTCTGTCTTGATTGGTCTATT